CTTCAACTTCCAGCCGGACTGAGGCCTCTAGTGGCGGCTGCAGGCAACAGCCCACTGAAACTTCTCCTAAACTTCAATACGGCTTCATTAGTGAAGGCTTGTTGTATTTAATAATCTTCTGAAATATCTGCTACAGTTGGTACATTACAGCGCTCGTGGTCGTGGAGTCTTGGTGGGGGATAAGTACGCCACATAGTTCTTTAAGCTTCGTGATTAAGAAAAGAAAATCGCTTCTGGTTGTCACACAGGCACCACAGCAGCTTCTAAATTCCTCATTTCAGACTACATTCATGACAGCAAATTACAGTCTGCCTCTGTTCTAATTATCGTAATGCTGAGAGGGCACAGGGGGAATTTTATTTTCCGTCTGATGATTGAATTCATGCTTTCTTTCCTGAGTTGTATTTTGGTGCGTGACCATGAGCTTTGTGGTTTTCCGAGCCCCACGGGACCAATTCCCATTATTTACTTGACTGTGACCCCGTATCATGACCCTTCAAGTCTCTCATTCTCCCCAAGCCTACTTTTAAATTGCTCATCTAATGGCGACCTGCATTTTTACTGAACTGTAATGAATGTTCCAATTACACTGAAGGTGATGGAGGCGATTTTCCTATGATAGAGGAGGTGATTGGATCTCCCACACTCCATTTCACTATCTCCCTCTCTCTCTGTGCTCTTCAGGCATTCCCACAGACCTGTGGTCACCACGAGCTGTTGGGAGGAAGCTAAGCCTCCACTTGTGGTAATGCACCCTCTCAGTGCGCTGCCAAGCCGTGCACCAATGAGGTGACTACAGAATTAAGTGCTTGAAATAAATGAATTCATTCTGGCAGAAATGTGTCAAATGACCTTTCCGCTGCTCATTACACATGGTGCACATTACACCAGAGAAATGCTCCTGTTGTCTGGGCTCCTTTGTTTCCCCCCCTCCTGTCCGCCTTGTCAAAGGGGAATGGTAATTAATTGAAATCATTTCCATGTGTAAGGTTGTGTAGATCCCTCCTCAAGGTGTGTCAATGGGTCGATAGATATTTGGAGTGTATAGTGGAGTCAGGTGATAAGAACTCCAGTCATACTGTGCTAAATGACTGCCAAAGCTCCATAAAACCAATTCAAGGGCAGATGAGTACGAGGGCAAGAAGTAACAGACAGAGAGAGGGGAAGGCATTGTCCCCAGCAGACTGTATTCTGACAGCGGCGACGATGGTCACTATCCACAGAAATTGCAGTGTTTTGGATCATTCAAGGCTGGGCACATTTTTCATTTTCCACCCTTTTTTTTTCCCTCTGATTAAAAGGTTGTTTGTGAGAACTGAAGAGTCTCCTTGGAGGTGGCATCCTCCTGCTTGACTGAATGCGGGGCATTTCACCCAGCTCTGTGCACAAGAGAGGAGAGCTTATCCTAATGCAGAGGCTGCCTGTCTGCCTGCCAAAGAGAGATGTGGCTTTAAGAGGGCCATACATGGTGTTGATTAGTTTTACTGAGCGGGTATGCAGAGACCAATAAATTAAATATGAATAAATTAAAAATGTACTCTAGCAGAAAATTGCTTGGAAAACAACCACCTCCCCATTAAAATATGTATAGTAATGCCTTTTATGTGAAGTAACTTGGGATTAGATATCACTGTAAATTAACACACCATCCAACCGTAGTCAAGAACTTTTCACTTTTAACAAGGACTTATAAAAGAGGTATTTACTCCAGTGTGTTCGGTAATTAATTTGATATTCAAATGAGCTTACAGTATGTATTATAATTGCAAATATCCCAAATAAGAGTAGTTTTAAAAAGGGGGTAGTGTCAACAAAGATTGATGAGGCTTGCTTTGAAATTGCCATCTGTTTCAAATGTTTACTTGACGCAGAACCGCCCCCTCCCTCTTCTTTTGTGGAAATAGAGGCATCATGGTTTCCTCCCGCCATTTGGCCATATGTATCTGTTATTTTGTGTGTGTGTGTGTGTGTGTGTGTGGGGGGGGTTGAACGGTGCGGTGCAACACACACACACACACACACACACACACACACGTGCATCTCCGCACACAACGCAAACACTGAAGGGGATCAGGAACATCAGCATGTGTGATGAGCTCCCACAGATAACGTCTCTGCAACATTTCCATGACATTGTAGCTGTGTTACCTCATTACCACAATGTCACAGCAGCAGTGTGAGGATGTTGTGTCGGGGGTGAGGACGGAGGGGCGGCGGGGAGGGGGTCAGCTGCAGGTATCGGGCCTCTGCAGATGAGCTGATTAATTAAAGGGAGCTCTATTAAGGTTATTGAGATGCCCCACCCCCCCTCCTCCCAGCTCCCTCGCTGGATAAAGGTGGATGGAGCCGAGGGGGGGCCCGTGGAGGGGGAAGCATCCTTGCCTCTTTTGACATTAGCCAGCGTGCACCCACTTCACACGCCCCACGACTCTCGCCACAAGTGCCTCTCTGCACCCCACCTTTTTTTTTTTTTTTTTTTTGCAGGAGTGACACTCTCTTCAGGCTCCAAAATGGGGCTGCAGAGTTTTAATCCCTCCAGCCCATCAACCCACCCACCCTTACTTCCATCTGTCAGGAGCACTGCTGGAGGAAAAGGGGGAGGAGGAGGAGGAGGAGGAAGGTTTTTTTTTTTGGGAGGGAGGGAGGGGGGGTGCAGGGGGCGCATCCCTCGTTCCATCCCGACGAATTTTCTAATTTCCTTTGCCTCCATGCTTTGTCCCCAAATTCACGCCCCTAACCTATCCACCATACAGCCTGTCCCCCCGCCGCCCCCCTCGGCTCTCCCACCTCTTTTCTCTGTTGTTTTGGCAAAAGGAGGAAAAGTAAAAAACCGGAGGCTCCTGTTTTCCTGCAACAATGCGAGCTGACAGGATTTTAACTCCGTCTGAAGCTACTGTCAATGTACATGAAAACGCTGATTCTCACGTGTTTTCTTTTTAAATCTCTTTAAATTTGTTCCACCTCGAGCCGCATTCAAACGCTCCCCATAATGTGCTGCGGGTCAAATTCTGCCTGGACTTCTTCCCTCTGCCTGTAATTAATTAAAAGCACGGCACAAGACAGTGAGGAACACACGCTGAAATCCCAAAAACATCTCCTCTGACTAAACTTTGCCGTACATTAGCTTTTATAAACAGAGTTTATGCAAATCCGGCGTGGTCGTCAACAAGTAAGAGTTTTAATTAGTTAGATAAATCTTTACTGTTTTTTTTTGGGGAATAATCAACAAACAACAGGAAGCGTGTCTTAACCATTTATTTCTCTTCTGAGTGGACCATCAAGATATAAGCATACAGCGTATTAATCAGTGACACATTACATGGACATCACAGTATTAATGGGCAGTGGCTCAAGCAATCAATTCTAATTACACATCTTCATGCACAAAACCAGGTAGCTTTAGGGACAGCACCCTCCTGTCAAATTAACTCCAGGAAATGAATTCAGCAACTTACTACAGCTCCATCTGCTGTTTATTGCCGTCTGAGTAAACCAAAGTCATGCAGGATGTCAGTGATGTTGCAGCAGTCTCTTTTGGCAAGCAGCTTAAACCGAAGACATTTCACATCTCATTCGCTCGTTCTCGTAAACCGTCTACGTTTAAAAATAAATAGGTTTTAAAAACAAAATATTAAAAAGCTATTCTGCACATCTGCTCACTATGTTAGGAAACATCACCCGAGATCATTGCAGTGAGTCGGCCTGAATTCGACAAAGGTTCAAGACGACAAACGCAGACTCTACATTTGCACATACACAGTAAAACACAGAGCCGGTACACGAGCACGGGCCCCTATTGTTGGCACTCATTCACTTCAAGATGCAAATGGGTGGATTTGAAATTCACCCTCTGTGTGTTATGCTTGGATACTTTAATGTTGTATCTATGCTGGGGATTATTCTCTCTACAGCGGAAAAAACCTGTGCTTGAATGGCAGTGCCCTCAAAGTAGCTCCTACTGCTTTCAATGGCCTCCAAACGAGATTAGACCCGTGGCTGCCCTCAGTCCCAATCCTCTGCATTCAGATGGAGCGTAACCAGCCTGTGTGACAGTTTTTCTGTTTTGACACTGAGAGGGTGCAGTCACTGCATATAGGACGTTTTGGAATTGAGAGGTCAGAGCGGAAAGAAAAAAAAAAAATCCCAATTGCTCACTTTGGTGTTATAAAATGATTATTCAGTAAAAACTTTTATGTTCCTTTTGAGCGTTTTCTCTGCAATTTAGCACGTCATTATGAAACATGAAGAAATATGTTGTGTTGTTGTTGTTGTCATTTAATATTAAACATACAGCAGTGCTGTGTTCACTTCCGTGTTCTATCTTTGGCACATTTAAAGCCTTTTACTACTATATACATATATCTATACGGTAACAGACACTAAGAGTATAGAAAATGTATGTTAACAGTGCATATAAATAAGGAGATAGCATTAATAATAACAAGATACGCTGCTAGCAGTGAGCAGATGACTAAATAACAGTTTCATTAAGGAATCAGCTGTGCTCAAGTCTCCCAGGTGGCTGTCTTTACTCGACTAACTAATTAGGTCGTTGCTGTACGATAAAAGCGTCAGTAAAATCCGACAAACTCGTTCAATCTCTACACAATAAAAAGTAAGTCCGTATCTAGGCTGCTCGGTGCTCTCAGAGAGTTTACTGTGTAATAGCAAGCGTTTGTTCAGCAGCTCTGCCCCACCTCACACGGAGGCCTTGTCTTTTGGCACATGGCAGAGCTGAAGTTGAACCATCAGCTCCAGTGGTTTTTCTTGTACAGTTTTCCCATCTGTGTCAGATTCCCATTTGTTAGTCACTCCTGTCACTGCTCAGTCTCTGGCCATCAGAACCATAAAGGCAGGAGTTACATTCACATCGACATAATCAAAAGAAAACAACAAGTGTGTATTCACCATGCTAAGCACAAGTCCACCTCTAGCTTAGCTTTTCCTGCTTCTCACCTTTTCCCGTGTGACATGGCTGGTTTTTTAGTCTGAATGGGCACTGGTCTTAGAGCGGGTTCTGGTGGTTTGCAGGGGCCAGTCCTACTTTACTAGAGGTAGAAGGTCTCTGGCTATCTGCCTTACGTGGGTTGGAGGGTGGTTTCTGTCCTGCACTGAGGGCCTTCTTGCCCTGAGGCCTGCGTTGCTTTACACTCGGCTGTGTGGAGGGTTTCACACTAGCGTGAGACTGCAGGGACAAGATTCATATTCATCTTACGTAATAGAATTAACTATGACATTCATGTAAAAACAGCTGTATGGCTACACCTTTATTAACATCTCCTGTAAGAGGTCATTCTGGCACCATCTAGTGGTGACTCAAGGTAAAAGGCAACATGGAGGCACAAAGGCAGTTGAGAAAGGAAATGTAAATCCAGAATTTATAGCAGTAAATATTTGTGGTCTGAAAATGTAGGTCAAGCTGTAGGAGGTTCAACAAACCTGTGTGGCGGCTGGCTGTCTCTGGGTGTCAGAGCTGCTGATGCGCTTGTCCTTCTGAAGGCCGCCGCCACTCTTGTTCGCCTTTATTCCATGATGCTAGAATAACCCAAAGGGAAACATGAGAGATCTATACCTGGATTCCATGACCATTCATAATGGATAAGGGCTGACCTATAGAGCAGGAGCTTACTTTAACGGAAACTTCAGTTTTGTTTTGTTGTGTTTCTGACCTGGAACAGTGAGCTTCAACTAATGGAACTATTATGTTATTAATTATCGACATGAATGAAATTAACAAATCACAGACATCACAGTAACTTTCAACAACTCTGCACAAGCGCTTCCAAACTTATTTCATGTGAAACTTCTCATTGCAATTTAAAAACATGCAGATTTAAGGAGTCTGGGGGTTTTGAAAAATACTCTAAAACAAAACGTACGTGTGTGTGTGTGTGTGTGTGTGTGTGTGTGTGTGTGTGTGTGTGTGTGTGTGTGTGAGGTTGATTAGTTGGTGACATTTTTAACAACTTTGTAAAGATAGTTTTGCTGATTTATCTACTCAACAGGAGAGTCCAGGTTTAAACTCTAATAATGACCACATGAGGCGTGTGATGTGGAAGCAGATATAACAGACAACAGCACAGACATCGATCACTAACAGTGCGTTAATAGATTAGAGGGACTTAGTTAAACTATCACAGGTGAGTGTGGTAGGCAGACGTGCAGTACCAGTTTGGTTGATGCCGAGGATGCGCGGGAGCTGCTGCTTCTCTCAGGCCTGAGCTTAGCATTGCAGCTGCAGTTGCTGTTTGTTTCCGGTGACGCCGGCGGGGGGATTGGGAGTGGTTCCACCTCCAGGGGCTGTGCTCCTGTTGTGGCCGATTTTAAATAACAGTCATTGACATGAACAGAACCGTACATGGATGGTGTATATCTCTGTCTATCCCTCTCTGCTTTCCTGTTGCTCAGTAGTCTCCATTTGATGATAACAAATGTCTTATATTTACATATTACAACCAGCTAGCGTGTGAATTTGACCATACATGTTAACTTTATGCAGCTGTACTGTCCTTCCTGGTAAGAGATGCTGCTCAGCATCTGTTAAAGCTCAGCATCAAGATACTTCAAATGCAGTTTTCTACAACATTTGAGGTGTAGTACTCCTCAATGATACATCTGACACCTCGACTGTAGCATTTAGCAGTGCAGAAATCAGCACTCAAAGTATATTAAAATGTTGTGTTAACACTTGATGCTACCACTTAGCTCTCACTGCTGAAACCAAACCGACCGTGAGAGACTTTTTTTCTTGTCTTCATCTGCTGTTTTCATATATATCAGTTTCATACATTATCACAAACACACTTATTTTGATTGAAAAGATCAAATCATGACATGGAGGATTTAAATAGTCAGTATTACTCTCTTCCTGTTCCATGTAGTTCTGCATCATCTCGAGCATGTTGGACGGCGCAGCAGGCGCATTAGTGTCGCCCTGTTAGACAAAGCACCTGGTAAGAGCTCTTCATGTGACACATTTAAAGTTTATGGATGCAGCTGGTAGAATCGGTGCCTTACTGTAATCCAGGGGCTTTCTCGGAGCTGATTAGCGGTCATGCGGAAGGCGGGCTCAACTTTCAGGAGGCAAGTCAATAGATGTTTTGCTGTTGAGACAAACCCAAGTTCATAAGTGAGTTAGCAACAAGATGCACTGCTCTCAACTGCGACTTTACATTTATGTAAGAAGTGTCACCTGCATCGCTGACTGTGTCCCAGATGGGTTGAGTAAATCTGACTCCGTTGTTCATAATCTCCTGAAGCAGGAGTGCCTTTGTTTTGGAAGCAAACGGAGGTTCCCCGCACAGCCTACAGGGAAACGCAGCTCAGACATACGTGTCCACAGCATGTGTGTGCTCAAAACAGCATACGTGTGTCTACTTACAACATATACATAACGACTCCTATGCTCCACACGTCGCACAAGTGGCTATAACCGCGGTCGCTCATCATTTCAGGTGCTGAAAATTACACAGATACACAGCTTTCTTCATGTGGGACAGAAATCTGGGAGCAGACAGTGCTAGTTAGAACTCATGTTGACCACTAGTGGTGCTGCTGAGCCCTGTTTCAATAACACCACACTGTGTATGTTGTGTTTTATCGGCACATTCACAAGGACATACAGACACACACACAACGAGCAAAGGAGCGAAGAGACACACGGGGAAAATGCATATCCACAGCTGGTGGCAGTAATGAGTCATAAAAGGCAGCAATGCACCAATAAAAGGGGAGGAGGGGAAAAACAGACACCCGCAGGCTGGAAAAATGCAGGTTTCAAAATTTCGTTTTGGAAAAAAAAAGTGAGTTATGATGTTGGTAATGTCGCGACTTTGCACCAGCAGTTGTCAAAGTAAAGCGTCTTAGATTCAGTGTGGACCCGACACAGTGTGCGTCACCTCCAGGTCGATCAAACTCACATTTTATTTCCAGATAAAGAAACATTCAACACCTATTTTTTGTTTACTTTGAAACCTGTGGTGTTTATATCCACGCTATTATCTGCTAGCAGATTTCTTCTTCCACAGCTTTTCCAGCACCTTTTTTGGCATTCATGAAATAAAGAAATGGAAATATTGTCTTGCATTCCTCTACACATTTGTTTCATCCCTCTCTGTGCTTTGCTGTAATGTCTGCATGCTGGTAAAGCATACAACAGGTACCAATTATAACAGCTCTGTAGCACCACTACTGTCAGGAACATTTTATTTTATTTATTATTTCAATTTTATTGAATTTCCCTTCTGGGATAAATAAAGTATTTTCATTCATTTCATTTCAAAACATTTAGGTGTAATAACATCTATACCTGAGTAAGCATATACAATACTGTGCATACGTTTAAACTGTAAATTAGATGGTTTCCAAAAAAACATTTGGTTATTTTTCAGTCTTCTAAACAAGCATTTCATGAGGAAATATGACGTTTTAGATTTCCAAACATTCCCTTTGCAACAAATAAATATTCAGAGTTATGTAGTAAGAGAACAATTACACCAAACAGATGCTAATAAACCAAATTATTAACTTAGCTGAACTAAAATCATTACCAAAGAAAGAACCAGATGCATAGGAAGGATAAAAGTGGGTACAACCAACAAGATGAGGTTGCTGAAGAAGTGACAATTTCATCTAAAAATCTTAAACCGTGGTAACGACACAGAAGATGGTTCTCCTGCCTCAGCAAGTCTCTCATAGGCAGACATTTTGCAG